ATTCATGCGAATAGAATCAATCGCGCGCAGATTCATTCATAATCAGACTCGCTCGCGATCCGACTCGCACGCGCTCAAGCTTTCATATTCGGACCTATCGTCTTCGTTCGTGTTGTGTACACTGCCACGCATTTCGGCACACCCCTCATACGGCTCGTGGCCCCATAGGGAGCGCCACCGAAGAGATATTCACAATTGCGGTACTCTCAACTGCATATGGTTGGGTCCTTCGCCAGGCTAATTTTTAGAACATGTTTGGGTTCTAAGAACATGTCGTGGTATGACTATAGGAATGCCGGGACGGTCGGTCCCTGCTCAATTCGCCCGGCCCGAAGTCGGCCCGCCCGCGTCGGAGGCCATCCCGGCAAAGCAGGGCCCCGCCGAGGGGATCCGCGGCCCGTCGGCGGTGCCCGGGCCGCGTGCGCGCACCGCGGCGCCCGGAGGGGCGCCGCGGGCACGGCGGCGCCCGCGAGGTGCGCGCCCGCCCGGGGCGCTGCTCGGCCCGAGGATGCCCAAGTCGGGCTTGTCCTTCCACAGGAGGAACAGTATCGGAAACTGGAGCATATACTGTACCAGTGGGTGGCTGTTCTTCAATCCCAGGACTTCGTTGAGGGTCGAGGACGACGCTGAGGTGGCGTGGTGTATTCTTGTTTTTCCCCCGATGCCCCGGGGAAGCGACGAAACATGTATACATCAGGGTCCTGTATACACCAGGATCCGCTCTCCAATGCAGGGCCGGAGCATGCGTCGGTGTATAGAGTTCGATCCCCTACATGTGAGAATAGTCACATAATACTCTGGGGACGATCTCAAACAAACTCTTGTTGGGCTATTGTTGCGCATTGCTTGATCCTGTGTTCTTGCAAGATCCGCCTCCGGGAGGACGTGCCCGACCTAAACATGTGCCTGCCTGCGCGACCGGCACGCGTGCAGAGCCGCCGTGAACGATTTCTCGGCGGCGAGCGAGGGGGAAAAGTGAGAAGGAGAAGGCCCTCTCTCAGAAGGCGGCGGGGCGTCTCAGAAGCCCTCGCGCCTTCTGAGAGTTGTTTTTAGTCTTCGGGGAAGGCTTTGAACACTTCTCAGAAGGCCGGGGGGCTTCCGAGCCTTCTGAGAAGGCCTTTTCCTTCTCACTTCTCCCCCTCGCTTGCCGCCGAACTCCAGGAGAGAAAAAAACACAAGGTACAAATGGTCATGGATTCCCTGGGAGATGTGTCGCCGCGCCGTTTTTGTTCCGACGCGCGGCCTTGCCTCTTGAGGAGGGCGCCTCGGCCACCAGGGCAAACTCCGCCTCGGACACAAAGTTTGCCGCGGTGCCATCGTCGTCTACCTGGGGCGCGGGGCGCGGGGTTTGCCGTGGGTTTGCCGTGGTGACGGCGTCGTACATTAGGGCACGTCGAGAACAAACGGCGCGGCGACATACACACGAAGAAAATCCACGCATCTACACATGTTCTTCATCTCTTCTGTAAATTCAACGAACCAGCACATTTGGAGCAAATCAATTCTGCAATCGATCTCCTACCCGAGGCCTAAGGTGGTCGCATCTCCGTGGCTCGGAGGCTTCCCGGCCAGTGCTCCCGCCATGGTGCATTCGCATTTTGGGGGCAGCCAAGAGGGAGGTGATGACTAGGGGGGAGGGTATCTTGGCGGGGGCCTCTTCTCAGTTCATTACGTCCATGGCCCTCCCCCTTGGGCCGCGCACGTGCCGCCGGCCATGATTTGCGACACCCTCTTGGACGCCCCCCTCTTGGCCGCCCCCGGGCACTCGTGCACCACCGCTCCGAGGCGGGGGCTCGTCCATGACCACCGCCTGCAGGGCAGGATCGGTCTTCGGGGGCCATGGGGCCCGCCGCCTGCAGGCGGCGACGGTGGACTTATTCGGGCACCGTGGGGCTCTGATATATCCACATCCATCTCGGATCTGCTCCATTCCAACGGGATTCTACGTAGATTCAAAAAAGGACTCAAATCTGAATCCGCTGGATCTGTGCTCTGCTCCATGAGGCTGGGCCTTCTCGTTCACAAGCGACAGATCCTTGCGTACGTTCGCGTGGATTGCCATTCAGCCAGAGGCCTGTTCTTTGCTTATGTTCACCAGTGACTAATCTCTGCCGTGTAGCAAAACCACAGAGCACCACAACACAAGAGAACACATATCCAACTACCTACCACCCCCTGTATAGTCCACGGACCTTGGCTCCCTGGGCGGCGGATCTATGGAGAGAGCCCTCGCCTCACCCTCCACCGTGCCCGACCAGGCCCCACCTCTGGGCCCTGCCATGGTGCATCACGCCTCCTGGCCGCGGCCAGGAGGGGCCGTTTTTTTGGGGCGGACGCTACGGGCGGCAGGCGCCGACTGCCGACGATCGGCGCGGAGCCCCCTAGACGGGCACCTTGGGGAGCTTTGCGGTGCGATGCGCAGCCAGCCCTTCGAAGTCAGCCACGCTGTCGCCGGCGCACCGCAGGCCTCCCAGCAGCAGCCCTCTCCAGAGGGAAGATGTTCAAGGATAGTCAAGCATAGTTTGGGGACGACTTGCTTTGCATGTTTCCCCCTGTTTGAGTCGTTGTTTGACTATCTTGCACTTTTCGTCCAACATCCGCCCCTAGGGGCACATGCCCGACCCAAAGCTCGGGCTGCCTCCCATGCGCGGCGGCGCCTCGTGGAGGGGGCGCTCCGCGGGGCGCCCGGAGATCGCCCCGAGCGGCCGCCGGAGAGCCGAGCCACGGCCACGGAAGCGGCGGGGGAGCGCCCGGGGGGGCAAGGCTCCTCGGGCAGGCCAGCCACAACTGGGGGAGCTGTGGTCCTCACCCCCCTGGGGGGGGGCCCATCGATCTCGACACCCCTCTCGAGAGATCGTCGATGCGATGGTTCCCCCACGGGGGTCAGGACCACAGCTCCCCCAGTTGTGGCTGGTCGGTCGGGGGGGGGGCCCTTGCGGGTCCCTAGAAGATACACCAACACCACCACCACCACGTCGATTCCTCCACCCTCCTCTGCCCTCCTCTGCCTCTTCCCTCTCTCCCTGGCAGAGGGGGGGGGGTACCAGGGAGATGGTGGTGGTGGTGGTGCATGTTTGTGGGCCCCGTACATGTCGCCCCCCACTCGTCTGTTCATCGCCGACAGGGGCCCGAGGGCCCTCCCAGCGCGGGATCGTGCGCTCATCCGCTGTCGGGGGTAGTTCTGTCGCCGATCTGCCGACGACGTCTCGCCGAGTCCAGCGCGGTGCCCCCCCCCCATCCCACCGAGGCAGCCTGGCGTGATTCAACGCGGCGTCTCGCGCCCCCCCCCCCCTCGTCGTGCGTGGCGACCACGCCGAGGCGACAACGCCGAGGCGGGCGCTCGGCTCAGCTCAGTTGTTGCTCCCCCCTGGGGCGAAAAAGATGTCGCGACCGACCGCGTGGGGAGGAGGAGGAGAAGGAGGAGGAGGAGGAGGAGGAGGCGAAGGAGGAGGAGGAGGAGGAGGAGGAGGAAGAGGAGGAAGGGAGGGGAGGGGGGAAGGAGGAGGGGGGTGAGGATGAGGATGAGGAGGAGGAGGAGAACCTGTGTAAACCCAAGAGCCATCAACGATGTTGAAATACACCCTCCCTGCAAGCTCCGTCTACACAGGCCCCTACAACGGTTCATTTCCATCGAGGGATCTACCTCGTTGGAAGACAACTGGTTGACGACCCAGGAACATGCCCAAACTCAGGAGCCCAACGCCACGGATCAACCTGATTGTTGCGTCTTGACGATCTTGGATCGTGCAATAACGCCATTCTTGGGCTTACAACACCGCGAACCAACGTAATTATTGCGCCCGCAAAATCGTGAATCCTTCCGACACCGTATTTCTGGTACGTTGACCGTGGGAATCCGTGAAACTGTGCGTGGCGCTAAGGCGAGGGCCATATTTTGAAAAGGAACCGCCATCAATCCGTGAACCTGCTGCAATATGTTAGAACGAATGTGCGCGGCGCTAGGGCGAGAGCCTCATCTCAAAAACTGGCGATCCTCAACACGTGAAGCTCTTGTAACCTGTATAGAACGAATGTGCGCGGCGCTGAGGCGAGAGCCACATTTAGAAAACCACCCGCCGTCCATACGCGAAGCTGTTGCCAAGTTTTTTGAGCTGCAGAGTCATACACGGTGACGAAGTCTCAGGCGAAACGCCTGGCCCGCCCTGCAAGCTGGCCCCCGGGCGCGACAAGGAGAAGTTACTTATGAGGGAAAGGAATGGAGGAGGAGGCGGAGGCGGAGGCGGAGGAGGAGCAGGAGAGAGGAGGAGGCGGAGGAGGAGGAGGAAGGTCCTGCCTTCCATTCCGCCGCCTCCACCCTCCCCCTCCTCCGCCTCCTCATCTCCTCCTCCTTCCCTTCCTCGGCCTCCGTCTGTTTCTCCTACTCCTCCTGTGCTTCTCCTGCTCCTCCTGCTCCTCCTCCTCCTCCTCCACCTCCTCTCTCTCTTCCTCCTCCTTCTCTCTCTCTCCTCCTCCTCCTCCTCCTCCTCCTCCTCCTCCTCCTCCTCCTCCTCCTCTTCCTGCTCCTTCTGTTCTCTGTTTCTCCGCCATGCCAGGGACGCCTTCGCACTCAAGATGCAATTTCCAGGAGGCACCCTCGCCAGTGATGCCCTCAAAGAGGCAGCGTGCGAGACTGGTCCCTCCTGGGCGCGCCGCCGACGTACTCTTCTGGAGATGTCGGAGGAGGGACGGGCCCCAGTGCCTCAGCGCCGGACGGGGCTGGAGTGCTAGGTCGTGCGCCTGCTCGGCCAAGTGCGGTCAGAACTGTCTGTGCACGGGCGGGTGCAAGTCCTCGTAGAGTTCCCGGCAGGAGCTTTCCGCTTCCTTGGCGGCGTCCGCCCAAGGCCCAGGCCTTCCCGAAAGTCCCGTTAGCTCCCGATCAGGGGGGCTCTGGGAGCGACAGGGCTCCCCATATCGGGAACTGACGAGACTCTCGGGATGGCCTGGGCCTTGGGCGGACGCCGCTCGAGAGAGGCAGCATGCCGACCCCGCCCCGTGGCCAGGCAACCCGAGCCTGTTGCACATGCTCGTCCGCGCGGAGGGGCGGCCGCTGGCAGTGGACGGCATGCAGGCGCGTTAGGGTACCAGCTCGCTGGTGCCCTTCCTCCCGATACGCCCTCGCGTCGCGAGAGGATGTCACGACGGTATGCCTTTGACAGTTTTCGGGCTCAGGATGAAAAGCCCGTCCCCGGCAAGGGGTCAAGACCTGCGGGTGTCCACATGGTGACAAAATCATGGCGTCGTGGGTCTGGGTTCGGCACGAAAGGGTCGAGACGTGCCCCCTTGTTGCCAGGGCTGGACGCAGCTAGAAAATATGACCAGGATTCAGAAAATTAGCAAATACCAATGCTGCTCGTCCTGGAGATCCCTCGTTGCCACGGCGTGACTAAATATCCTGGATATTCTTGTCAGAGCGCACTCTGTGAGAGGCCCAGGGAGGCGGTATCGGTGTATATTTGCCCCCCCCAAGGGTGCACCCAGGGAGGTGTCCAGGGACAGTTTGTGAGCGCCTTCTGCCTAGAGGTCGCTGGCTATTTTCGCGCCCGTGGGCTATCGAGAAGCAGCCCCAGATGACAGATGCGCGTCCAGATCACAGTCGGATCCTCGAAGCCCTGGGGTGCCCACATCTCTAAGGAATCGGGGCGTTTGAAGCCTGGGAATGTACAGTTCGCAGATTTCACGATCCGGGAAAAGTAGAACGTGGATCGTCTTCCTCCTCTTGCTCGTCCTCCTGTCGGACAATAACTGTCCGTGCGGAAAGGTGGCACGCGCCAAGAGCACGTAGATGTTCATCCCCAAGTCTTCCCCGGGCAAGAAGTTCAGATCTACACATTCTTCATTTCTACGTATTCGAAAGTTATTTGATTTGTTGGGGGCCAAGATCCTTTCGTTCCCTACCTAGGCTCTTCCTAGAAGGGTTCTTACTCTCTACCTTAAAGGGGCCGGGCAGTGCTAACCGCCCCGGGCGGTTCCCCCGGTCCCCTGGGAGCCAAGCAAAAGCAACAGCAAAGGTAACAGCAAACGCGCGGTTCCCCCAGTTGCGCTCCCTGGGTGCCAAGCAAAAGCACAAGCAAAGGCAAAAGTGAAGGCAAAAGCGAAGGCAAAGCAAACACATAGCATAGCATAGCATAGCATAGCGCAGCATAGCATAGCATAGCATAGCGCAGCATAGCATATCGCAGCATAGCATAGCATAGCCTAGTCTAGGCTAGCCTAGCCTAGCCCAGCATAGCATAGCAGAACAGAGCATAGCATAGCATAGAATAGCGCAGCACAGCATCCACTATTGCTGCTGCTACAACTACGACGATGAGGAGAAGGAGGAGGACGGCGTTTACCGCTCCTACTAATGCTGCTTTCCTAGAGGCTCCAACTCCTAGGTAGGGCCGCACTGGGATAAGCTCTAATTGTGTTATCCTGGGCCTCTTCCTGGCTACTAGGGGGCCAGGAACAATTAGAAGCGAGCACACTTTGAAATGAGCACGATCAGAAATAAACGACGTGTAGGCTTTGCAAAGGCAGCAAGGGCAGCTGTGGGTCTGGAGTGGGCTTGCTCGTCAAGGCTGCCGTGCGGCCTCATGATGCCCAGGCCTGGACCCTCGGGCTTCGAGGCCTCGTCGGCCAACAAGTGGCTGCGGGGCACCATGCGCTGAACCGGCTAGGAATCGTCAGTAAGCAGCGACTCGTTAGACCAGGTGATGTTTTGCTTGAGCACACGGGGGCTTGGCAGCCTCGATACGCCCGTTTTGAGACGCAACACGTACCGTGCTTCAATCGCCCGTGACAATACGTTGCGGGCTGGTTCAGCGTATTGGCCCACGTTTTGGCGCACGTTTCGCATCAGACCTACGCATTCAGTCCACGTGTTGAACTGCGTATCAGTACGCTGCGTGTCGCGTGTTGCGCATCGGGGCAGCTGAGCACGGAGGTAGATGTCCAGTGCGGATGCCCGTGATCTATGGCCCTCGCCTCGGTGAGCGGCTTCTGGTACAGCGGGTAAACAGCGCAGATATTGGCATGTAAGCTGTTCGCGCTGAAGGTTGCACGTTAGGTCCTTCCCTCCGCGTGGTTTTGCCGCGCTGGTTGCCTGTGTAAGCCATGGCGCAGCCGCGTCCTGTGGGGTGAGACCCATCTTCCCGTGCAGTGGAAGCCCATGCCAAGAAACGCCTTGCTTGCCTCGAGGGTGCCCTAGAGTTCTTGGGTTTCGATGGTCTTGCTATGGATAGCGTGGCGTCCTGGGGTCTCAGGGTTGGGTTTCTTGTGGTAGGTTTCTTGTGGTCGAGCTCCTGCTGCAGCGTCATTTTTTATTGCTTGGGGCATAATGGGCATTATAGCCCCCGGCCCCACCTCCCCCCCCCACACACAACGTAACGCCCCTCCCCCCCCCAGTGCGCTCCAGGGACTGCCGCTGTGCGCACGGCGGGGTGGAGGCGTTATATGATACCCCCCCTGGCCTCCCCCCTCTACAATGCCCATGACCGCCGAAAATCTAGAAACGCGCTCCTGTGGTACCTTCTCGGTGTCATGAGGCGCCCCGGCAGTGGCCCATGCTGTAGCCTGCGTGCGCTGCCTGGTTTTTTTCGTTTGGTCCTTACTCTCCCTATGTGTGTGTGTGTAGCGACCGGCCCTGGCTCTGCCCCTGCCCTCCGCCGCGGCCGCCGTCACCCCGACATTCTTATACTATATGTGCGTCGCCCCTCCAGGGGCGACGCGCGCACCGAGAAGTCTTATCGTACATGTGTCGTGGCGGGCGCTTTCTGGCCGCACCGCTCGCGAAACGATCTACTACAAGATGAGTAGGAGGACATATAGTATTAGTATGTCTTTGTGCGTCCCACTCCTCCTCATCGGCGGCCGCCCTGCCCTGCCCTCCGCGGCCGCTCTCTCTCCTCCTCCGCGGCCGCCCTATACCCTCGCGCCCCACGCCCGGCACGTCCCGCCGGGGCCGACCCGCAGCGCCTGCGGCCGCCCGGGCGCTGCCCCGGAGGAGGAAAAGGCACCCATACCGCTCCCCTTCGCCCGTTTCCCCCTTGCTCGGTCTCCTGGGGGGTCCTCGACGCACCGCCGGAGTCGCCCCGAAAGCCTGGTCAGAGCGCAGCCCGGGGGGTCCGGGGAGCAGCGGGAATCGGGTCCCTGTCGGTCGCCCCGCTGTCAGCTGAAGAGTACGGCGGCCGCTGGGTCTCTCCGTTCCGCGGCGGGGGCTGTCCTGGTCGCCAGACGCAGCTCGGGGCAGCTGCGAGCCCCAGGCAGCCAGGTGGGCCTCACAACGGGGGCAGGTGGCTGCTTTGCGTGTCCACCCCGCGTCACCCGTCACCCCCTCCGCCCGCCTGCCCCCCTCTGGGGGGCCTTCTGGGAAGCACGGCTCGGGGAGCAGGCGTGGTCCCGTGGAGACGTCGAGAGGCCTGGGGTCGACGTCGCGTTCCCCGCTGGGCCTCTTCGCCGCTGTGGCAAACCAGTGGGGCGTGACAGAGCGAGCCCTCTGTTGTGAGGTCAGAGTGCCCACGCCATGCACGCCGAGAACCGATGGACGTCCTGGGGTCTCAGGGTTGGGTTTCCTGTGGGAGGTCTCTGGTGGGGCCCCTACTGCACGTTTGGACTGTGGGAGGGGTCCAGGGGCCGATTTTGAGCGGATGTGGGCCGCCGTTGTCTCAGCTGGCCCGCCTCCGATCCTCTCCATCGCACCCTCCAGATGTACCTGTGGGTCGTGCCGGGTGGTTCGCTCGAGATTTCTTCACCGCCTGTCATCCTCAAGCTTGGACGTCCCAGCGGCTGCCCAACGAGTTGGTTGTTCTTATCGAAGACGCCTACGGCGAATCACCGCCGCTCCCTGCCTTTTGGAATCGCCCATGTGGCCGAGCGTTGTGGCAAGAGCTCTGCCAAGCCGCCTGACTGTGTGCTCCTCCACCCGTTGTGGGAACCCTTCGGGGAACACTTGGGGGAGGATGGCGGGGAATATCAGGAGGAAGATGAGGGGGTATCTTGGGAGCCTCTGGGGGCACTCTTGGGGCCTCCTGGGAGCTTCCTGGGAGCCTCTTGGAGCCATCTTGGGAACCTCCTTGGGCATCTTGGGCGCCTTTGGGGGCTTCTCGGGGGCTTCTTTGCCCGTCTTAGGGCGTTGCTGGCCCGTCTGACACCGTCGGAAGCCGTCTTGGGGGCCTCTCTCGGCCGACCTGGGGCCCTCGTGGGGTGCTCCAGGGCCGTCTTGGAGGCCATCTTGAGGGCCTCTTGGGCCGTCTTGGGGGCCTCTTGGGCCATTCTGGGGCAATCTTGGATGCCGCTCAGGCGATCTTGCGGCGATCTTTGAGACCTCTTGGCCGTCTCGGGCCGTCGGAAGGCCGAACAGAAACAAATGCTAAAATCTGCCGACAACTTGAGGACACTCAATGATTTGGGCCTTTTCGGGCCTTCCTGGAGGCCCTCTTGGGGGCCTCTTGGGGGCCTGTTTGGACGTCTTGGACTTTCTTGAAATCGTCTTGAGCCGTCGTGGGTGCTTCTTGGGCCGTCTTGAGCGCATCTTTGGGTTATCTTGGGCTCTGTTGGGGCCGTCTTGCCATCTTGGGCCATCTTGGCCGTCTTGGAGGCGATCTGGGCAACGAGAGACAAAATTTGGGAACCTTTCCGGGTGGCCGGCGCGCTGGGTCGAAGCCCCAGGGGGAGGTCTTTTGAAAAAAAACTAACATAAACCGAGCATAGGTTTAGGGTTTAGCACGCCATGCACCCCTATGGCAAGCCAACTGGGTGCGGCAGATCGACTGATCTTCGGCACATCCCGCCACTGTGCTTGGGTTGTGGGTATGAAGCCTATTAGATGTTCATGGGGATTTCGTGGGAGGCTTCTCGGGGGCTTCTTGGGGGCAGTGGAAGCCTTTGGGGGGCGGTTTTGGGATTGCTTGGGACCTCTTTTGGATTCTTGGGGCCTCGTGGGGCCCTTTTGGGGGCCTCTTGGGGCCTCCTGGGGGCCTCTTGTTGCGGAAAGCTAAATTTTTCGGTTCGATGTTTTTGGGGCCGTCTTGAGGCCCTCTTGGGCCGTCTTGGGGCTCTCTTTGGGCCCGTTTGGGCCGTCTTGTGGAG